TTAACTTTCTTTTTTAAATTATTACGTGACTTTTGCCAATTTCCTCTTATCTCATTATATAACGCCATTAAACAGTGACATTTTAAGTTTCTCGTTCTGAATATTTATTCAGGAGCTTTGTTATTTTAATATAAACTATTAATACAATTTTATTAAAAGTTTTCAAATTTCATTTATATCTGCAAATTATAAATTACTAATTGTCATTAACAGAATGATTCTTCATTGTTTCTGAAATGTGTGGCATAGTAAACCGGAGTGTATATGACCCTGTTTTGTACTTTTTACACCTAATTAATTAATAAAGTAATGTACTTTCGGTTCCTCCTGCGTATATTATTTCTTAATACAACTAAGTGGGTTAATCGAGGATACGAGTTACTTAACTTTTGGACTGTTTGGGTGTAACTGAGGGGGGGGGGTGGTAGCAGAAAAGTCTAAAAATAGCATTACGCGATTTATGGGCTTTAAACAGGGCAGAACGTGTTTGTGTGCCCCAGCGCGCTCGCAAGATTAATTTGTTTTAACACAGCAGGAAGGACCGTCCTTGATAATTACATCAGATAATACGAAATAAATCGTACTATTTATAACTTGCAATGAATTAATAAATGTTAATGGTTCATATTTCTGGTATTATTTAACGAAGAAAATATTTTTCTAATTTTAACTCATTAATTGTATTCCTTTTAAGGGGAATAAATTGAATTATATAATAAAATTAAGAGATTTTGAAATCAGAAAATTCCGATTAATCGTATATTTGAACAGATTATGTTATGTTAACAGCATAAAAATGTATGACGTAGTGATACTCTCTCTGAACAGTATTTAAAGACAGAGACTATGCGGACTCATTACATTCAAAATGAGAATCCTGATCTTCATCTCCTTGCTTTTGTTCTGTACTTCGAATGCAACAGAAGACGAAAACGAACCTTGTGAGTATTATATTTAAGATTTTATTTTAAATTATAATTAACTGATAAATATGATATAATATATTTCCAGTTAAGAAAGCGGATAAGCGTGTAAGTACATTACAAAAGAATGGCAATTGATTTTTATATTCTAAAGTACAATGCACGAACTTTAAATACGATAATGCGTAAAGTTATATTTGAAGGAATAAAATCATATTAATATATAATTATAAACTAGATATACACATTTCAGATAAAAGAATGCTGTGATAAAGCAAAGAATAATATTAGATTTCATGAAGTAAAAAAAATATTTATTACTTGTTATGTATGTGATATAATTATGCTTATTCATAATAATTATGTTTGTTTGTGTAAACCCCATAATCTTTTTCTACTTTCATTAATAGACATTTCCTTTATTTCTGGTTAAAATTATGCACTTTCTGTAGAAAAATGTGCTTACTAGGGATTGTAAATTTACCGACTTTTTCATTTACCGGTAATTCGGTAAATCACCGTAATTTTGTTTTTCAGGAAAAAAAATTTACCGGTAATTTACCAGTTAACCGATAATTATTAAAATACCGGTTTACTGGTAAATTACCGGTAAATTTTTTTTCCTGAAAAACAAAATTAAGGTGATAAAAAATATAAGTCATTTTGATTTCCATTTTACATTTTTTATTTCAAAGATATAGAATATAAAAATTAAACTGTTATTCTAAACAAACTACAATAATAACTTTTAGAAACAGAAATAAAATAATACAGAATAATAAAAATTCAACAGAAATAATATATAGTACCTAATACCTTTTATTGATTACCATATTTAAAAAAATAACTTTTTAAGAAACTTAAATTATTTAAAGTCTTATCTCCTAATTTTGATCTAATTTTTGTACAAAATAATCCAGGTTAGGTTTTTAGACTTTTTCGGACAGCATCTTTAAGTAATAAAAATCTTTTCAGCATGTTTAGTAAGCTATTCCACCTGGTTCTACAATCTAAAATTAAAGTTCTCTAAATCGCATATATGATTGGTCCAAGACCAATGGCTTTACATTTAATGCAGGGAAGACCTCATGCACCCACTTTTGCCGTAGGCGTGGATTGCACTTGGATCCTGAAATTTACCTAAATGGGGTTAAAATCCCAATGGTGAATGAGGCTAAGTTTTTGGTGTTTTTTTTTCGATTAAAAACTGGCATCCTTGCCACACTTGTGCAACTTGAAGAGTAGATGTTTAAAATCTCTAAACCTTTATTTGTATTTAATTATTTTAAACAGTTGTTAGAAGTAAAAAATTTATTTAAGGTACAAATTTTAATGTTATTTTGCAATAATATTGCATTAATGTCCTGTCATAATGTGGTGTATTCAAAATTGCTATTAATTTAAAAAATACGTGAAATATTTACGTATTATTATTTTTAAATATTAAAAAAAGAGATATTTACTTACTCTTTAAGAAAAACGTTGATTGTAAAGATTTTAAACCTTTAAAAATCTCAAAAAACGGCAGAGCACAAATCACATATGCTAACTAGAGCTTTCTGTACAATTTACAGTGCCTCTCAAACCCAAGAAAGTTTAAATTAAAATTAAACAAAAAATATCTCACATAAAATTAATAATTAGGTATATTGTTGCTTACACTTATTTTTTTTTTTTTTCAATGTCCCTTTAGCCCTTTTAAATATCTATAAACACAATATTTTCTACATAAAAATTTCTAGTATGAATTTTTCATTTACCGAATTACCGGTAAATTTCAAAAATTTACCGGTAAGTTTACCGAATGTTTTTTTGTCAATTTATCGGTTAACCGGTAAATCGGTAAACCGGTATACAATCCCTAGTGCTTACCTTTTAGATTTAATTACATCTTTGTAATTTATATATATCAATTAAAATGAATGACTGCGACCATTAAGATGCCAGTTTATCTCTGTGGGGATCCGGAATCGAATCCACGCCAGCAACCCCAGGAATTTTTCATAGATGGTAAGTTCCTAATACGTTGGGCCCGGTTTCTCTACACCGGCTACCCCATTGTGGATCTGTGATACACGATAGTATGGAAGTAAGTCCTCTTAGTTACTGCTCATAGAGTAAAAAGAGCCAAAAATGAAAATACAGGAAGATTTAATTTTTTTTAACTGTTGAAAATACAGTCGACCCCCCTATAATACTGTTGATTTTTCCGTTTTATATGAATTCCATGTTGTACGAATCATTTAGATTTTACAAATACGTGTGCCGGGCTGTGAACGGCTCACGTATTTGTAAAATCTAAATGACTCGTACAACATGGAATTCATATAAAAAGAAATAATCAACAGTGTTATAGGGGGGGTCGACTTGTATTTCATAAAAAGTAAAGATTCAATCATTAAAATTTTCTAAAAATATGTCTATTAACTTTTTTACTTTTTCAGGATTTTAAAAAGTGCCTGGANAATTTGTAATGAATTTATCATATTTTATTCTTAAACTGGAAGTATTTCTCATTTTATATTTTGAATTTCAGGAATTATGTGATAAAAGATTGGAGGAAAATTGTACAGTAAGTTTTTTTCTATTATACATTACATCAGTTATTGGGCTAAAATTTGAAAAAATTGTAGACCTATAAATTTCTACTGTCATCCATCTGCCTGTCTGTCTGTGCTTCTTCAATATGAAGAAAGAAGTGAGATGGATAAAAGCCAAGAATAGATAATGAAAGCTTAGGGGCAGAAGGCCCCGATTAACTGTATGCAAAGCGGAGGTGACGTTTTATCAATTTAACAATTTCCTCTGAAAGGAGTTAGATAGATGACTGGAACGACTTTGTTAAAGGAAAAGTATGATGTACAGGGGCAAGCCACTACTCATTTGAGGTGGAGAGCATATATTTTAAACGAAATAAATTCAAAAATATAATTAATTAAAAAATCTGACGATGCCACAATAAAATAATTGCTTTTTATAACTTCATAAATAATAACACGATTTTGTATTATTGTAAAGAGATATACTGTATCTGAATTTTTTTTAGTGATTTATTAAGTAATATTTGTTTACAGTTAGAATACGAAGATTGCGAAAATAATGGCACTATGATTAAATTTAAGGTAATTTATATTTTAATTAGATTCACATTTATATGTATTATTTTCTTTGTTATTTAATCTAGAAAATAAAGTTAACGAAATAACTTTTAATGTTTAGATATAAGCTGTATTATGATAGATGTAATACCATCTATTAATGATGAATATGTTTTATCATTATATGTATAATAATTACAGGACAGGAAAATCAACGCGAATTTAATATTTATTTCAAACAGACGTTATAAAGAACAGCTTAATTACACTGATTACATTACAGTACATTACCTTGCCAAAGATTAAACCCATTGATTAAAATCATACTTTTGTACTATTTTCCTTTTTTTCGTAGTACTTTTTAAGGAATGAGTAATTTTTTTTATATATTCTTATTCCCTATTTTATCCGATACACTTTTAATAAGTTTTTTTTTTTTTAAATATGACAACACTATAAATATAAAAAAATTAAATTTCTACTACGAAAAGAGAAGTGATAGAGGTTCTCGGTAAAGAATGGCAGCGTGGCCCCATTTATATGAACAAAAATAAAAAATATATAAAGAGTATTCCTCGTGATGTAGAAGTACTACTGACTGTTCAAGATAGTAATTTTCATTTTTTAAGTTGTATTATATTCAAAACTTTATATAGAAAATCTTACCTTTTATTTCATAAGACATAATAAAGCATTAATAATTGAAATAATCCTATCAACAATTGCATTTTTATCGAATAACTACATCGAAATCATCAATTTTTGTACGGGTGTAACCTTACATTGCCAGAAAATCTTATAGTTTTAATCGATAAAACCTAATCTGTATTGAAAAGCAAAAACATAAGCTTTTATCTAATGTAATTTATTTTAATAATTTACACAAACAACTTTTATTGATAAAATCTTACAATATTGTTGTATTGTTAACATCTATTTGAAATTAAATATAATACGACTTTTTTAAAATTATAATTACAGATGATACATGTATTGTTTAGTGTAATGTCAGAAGAGGTAAGATAGAATTATTAAAAGTATATATAAATATATAAAAGACAAACTTAATACTTATTAATACAATGCTAATGTGTAACTAAATAAATTACATATTAAATATTTAAAATGATACGTAAATAATATTAAAATATTCTGATGCATTTTTCTAAATGATTTTTTTTTATTATTTCTAAATTTGTTTACTGGTTGCTTTGCACAACACTTGGGCAACTTTAAAAAATATACAGAACAAACTCGTGCCTTAAAAAGGCTTTTAAGGCACTAATCTATTTCATTTGTTTTAATTTCTGTACATTTAAACGTTTCTTGGGGCTGTATGGCCACTACTTCTTACCTTCTCTCTCTACTGGTTTCAGAATTATCAGTTTTGAGTTTAATAAATAGTTATTTAATGAAAAAAATATATATTTCAAGAATAGATAATTCATATATGCCTGTAATATTTCATTCGGATAAATTAATTTCATACATTTTACATATAAAATTAATTGTATCGAAATGAAATATTATAGGCCTATATGGATTATCTATTCTTATACTGTTACGAGCATTTATATTTACGTAGGAGCTAAAGAAATGAATAACTTGTATTTTCGTTGGTTAAGGTAAATGTTTTAATTTCGTCTTTACGTACAAGCAGGAGTGCGATATTCGTTGGGGTGAAAAGAAATTGTTTTGCTTTTACAATTTTTACAATCTTTCCTCCAACTTGGAAATTTTCGGGATTCGTTTGTCATCATTGTTTTAGTTGTTTATTGATTAATGTTATGAGATTAATGCATCATATTCAGAGAAGTTGAATAACTGTCGAAGTCCATCAGTTTCTACAGCTTACTTTCTTCCAAAAAACACCTGCGAGAATACGGGCAAGGAGACAGAGCCTCTAATCGTCCAGTTGGTAAAACTCGCCCAATCTGTCTTTGGGATGGCTTTGTTTCCAGTGGCGAGGGGGGTTGGGAAAGTTGAGAGGTGTCCGTGTTTTGGAGTGACAGGACTCAGGTTTTTAACTTTATTATATAACTAAACCTATGATACATATAACTAAGTCTAAGATTAGATGCGGTTGAATCTGGTTACATATACACTCCTATGGAGAAGATAAACAAAAGTTTCTAATCAGCTCGCATGCTGACTTAATGGTTTAGTTCTGTCGCTACTTCCGCTGAGAGAGAGTTTATTATAATCTATAGATACCTCAATATTCGTTGATCAAATTAGATGACGTTCGTTCGATCGGAGAGAGATGAATTCGAAGAGGACTGGCGATTGTATGGCGAGTCTTCTTATCGTTGACTTGCATGGGCCCGGACAGTCCGTTCGTGGAAGTCCGCTGAACTTGGCACCTAGTCGTCGATTACTCCGGGCATTAATTAATCTATTCACCTTTCTTTGGACTTCGTACGGGACGATCGCCCGGAACTTCGGTGTCTTTTATGCTTGATGACTGGGAAAATGGTCGTGTGATCGACTATTGACATTTAGAAGGTTCATTCCCAGGTGCGGGCATAGGTTTCTTCCGATTACTTGTAATAGCAGCTGTCCCTCTTTCATAATCGAATGTTTCCTTTTACCGTCTTCTTGTCAAAATTCCTCTCCGTTTCTTTAGAGAGAACGTCATCTGATCCGTTCTGAAGCGAAGTTTTTTTTATAACAATCGCGTTAAGAAATTAAACTACAAAGTCGAAATTTTGCGCGAAATTCGCTCATTCCTCCGCTCAGGCCCGTAGATAGCGCCGCGGGCTCACACACCCCACCTTCTGTAATTACCAATAGCGTAATGGCTAAATGATTTCCAACAAAGTAGAAGAAAGGAAACAAATTTTAAGTTTCTAAAATTAATTAATTGCTAGATATTCTTCTCACAATTATAGAATAAAAAAGAGCTTTTTCGTAAGACCGAAACTAGGCAATAAATACGGATGAAGAATCAATGACGCGCCATTAGGAACACTTTGTTTCGTACGGGACCATTTCAAATATTTATAAATAGCTTTTGACTCGAGATAGAAATCCGTCGTCAGAAAACATAATTGAATATCATTTACAATGCATTGATTATTGCTCTAGTGAAAAGTAATCTGCAGACCAAAATCTATTTTTTCATTTTCAATTTTAGAAAAAAAAAGTTTATTTTCAATAAAATGAACTGAACATTAATTTTAATTAAGCAACGGCGACTTTGAACTATAATTATTCGGCTTATGAGTCAGATTTTAATTCAATAAATTAATGTTGTGCATTGTTAGATAAAAATAATTNGGATTCTGTCCAACGTTTATTATTATTTTTTCTATAATTAAATTTCTAATTTTTCTAATCTATCTTTTAATAATTGTTAAGTATTGCTTTTCTAGTGTGAAAAATGTTGTGAGCTGGATGAAGAAGATAAGATAAGCGAGGTATGTACTGTACAGAGTGTCCATAATTAAAGTATACCACTTTAGACCACTCCGGAGACAAAACTGCTAGAGATAGATCGATAAAACTATACAGGCATGTTTATCTCGACACTGGAAAACAAAGGAAAAGTTTCAAAAATAGTTACAATTTTCACCGCTAGGGTCTATAACGGTGCAACTGTCGCAGCAGCATTACATAATAATAGTGATATAAAGTCGTGCTGCAGACTTTTATCATTCGTAAACTACAGCAGAGGGGATGTTTGAGTAGCGTTAAGTTTATGCAAGACTGCAAGATCACATCACACCACAGTCGTTATGAGAGACATACCGTCTAAAACACATGGCGATGAAAGGGCGATCTCTCAGTCTTTTACAATGCAATGGGCCTGTTCGTTTATCGATTTTACACCTGGTTACGGGCTATACGAAAAGGATACAGGATTACACATGCATATAGGATTTATACAGGTGAAGTTGCTGTATACTGTTGCTAATTCGATAACACGATTGCAATGTGTGACGAGAATGACAGAAAAGATGTTGAACAGTTTCTTTGATGACGTTGCAAAGTTGCACTTTTATAGACCCTCAGCGGCGTACTTTAATGATAGACCCTGTATAGTTTTCAATTAATTTTAATTTTTAATTAATTAAACATATAATTTAAAATGAGTATATTAAATATACCTGAATATAATTAATGAATTCTTTTTATTTCACTATACTAAACTTATGTTATTTTATGTTTTGAAGTGTCTGCAGAACAAGGATCTTGTTGTATGTTTCTATATTTAATTTTTTAATCTAAGTATTACTTTTATAAATTTTAAAATATCTTATGAGAAAAATATTATTAAAATTTACTATAAACAATAATAAATTTTAAATTTATTTTAGGGAACAGAGTTATATGTAAGTAGTTAACCATTACGCATGAACTATACTGCATTTATGTATTATATTCCGTACAAATTAATCACACAAATTTGATGTTAATGAGAGTTTACATTTAGATGTATATAAAATATATAGGCCTATATATTACTTTAATTGGAAGAGATTAAAGTAAGATTAACAGTTAATATTGGAATAGGTAAATAATTAGGTCTAATATTGTATTAATATTAAATACATCGTTGATTTCATTTACACATTGAATTGGAAAGAATGAATAAAAGTACAACTTTTTAAATCATGAGAATCCTTCATTCTTGAATCTAAACTTAGAGGAATTCTTTTATCGTTTCGATTAAAAAGTATAGTAATANAAGACACAACACACTACATTAGATCCATCACTTGGAACTTTCGGGAGAAGAAACCGTCGCGTCCGTGAATGTACGGGGTTTTATTTGTTTTCCTCCGATTCCCCTTTCCGATTGGTCTCTCCTTGTTACCTGATGACAATTCGAAACCTTTCGGGGGCGCGGGAAAGGTCAAAATCGAAGTTTAGTTCGATCTTCATAAATAGAAGGATTTACATTCTTCTATTGTTTAAAAGTTAGCGTCGCGTTTTCGTATATAAAAAAGATCTATTTATAATGACTATTTTTTTCTTTAAAAACTATTTAAAAATTATTTTAACGCGAAATTTAGTGAGGGTTCGGACCTGTCCAGAACCTCACACTATTTGTGATTCTTGAAAAATATCACGGATTAAATTGTGATTCTTGAAAAATATCACGAATAAAATTGTGATTCTTGAAAAATATCACGAATAAAATTGTGATTCTTGAAAAATATCACGAATAAAATTGTGATTCTTGAAAAATATCACGAATAAAATTGTGATTCTTGAAAAATATCACGGAAAACTTTGCCATAGACTTAAGCTGGTTTATTGGGACGTAGAAAGTGCACGTAGCAGTTCGATTCTGTTTACATGCGTAAACAAAGACATTCCTCGAGTTTTAAGCAATTAAATTGAGTTTGGACTCAATTGTCAGATTAAACAGCTCTACAATTATTTTGATATTCGTAAATATCGCTGACTGGGAATATGAACATGGCGAAAATTATGTACGAACTGAATTAAGATATTCTGAAGCAGATCTTGAAAGGAATCGAGTTTCTAAAATCACTACTAATAGAATTGTTTCTATTTTGAAACACACATAATGAACTCTAGATTTAAGCACAAATCTTTATTGGCAAAAATTTCAGGCTTTAAACACAATCAATGCGATCTTAGTAAATACATATGATTTGGGACATGTATGTAATATAATGGATAAATGTATTTAATGTAAAAATGCTACGATAATTACACTCACTGACTGAAATAAAATATTTGAAAAGAAGCAGTCTTTTATAGAAAATCAAAATGGTACTGTAAGGGGACGTCGAATACATCAGCAGAAACATAGAAATCCACATCCGGATATGATAAAATACTGAAAATTTCGCTTCATTGGGCCACATCTGGGAATAGATCATACGGCCCAATCAAACTGTTGGCTAAACTATGAGCATATCCGGATACGCTTAAAAAACAAAAATCACTTTTTCGTAGTAATTTAATAAACAAGTATAATAATGTATAAAATATAAAAAGTTTTAATTAAATATTGGATGTTTACTTTATCTTCTACTATCTTTAAAAAACACCAGAATTAAAGATAAACAAGCAATACTCAAGAACAGCCAGTTGCCCACAACAAGACATAGTGTGGTTAATTAATTTTTCAATAGCACAAGTAGTCCAACTTAATTGTCTTTCACTAGAAAGATTAGGTGATAAGCAACTAAATACGCAAACTAATAGTACCATCCGTTAAATGTGAAACGAATTATTCCATTGGTTGCTAATTAGCTACGTGGTACAATGTCTTTCTGGAATCTCCTGTAGAGTTCAAATTGCTTTGGTAAACAAACAAGATTAGACACTAAAATCGCTTTGTTTTGTTCCAACCGGATCAATGGATCAAAGAGTATAAATTTCTCAATGTGCAGTAACCCATGATATTATTTTACTCACACTTTGCATCGTAATAGCATTTAAATACATCTTGCACATTTTATGAATGTTATGATTGTACGTTTAAAAAACATTCGATTCAACGGACTTACGACATTTGCGGACACCTCTTTCCCAGGATTAGTTCCTGAGTACGAGGGATTTCTTTAGTTGATTGCAATATTTGCATGTTTCCGGCAAGCATTTCAGTTGCATAGAGATTTAAATTGGAAGAACCTTAAATTTGTTCGTGTGGCGAAAACATCTAGTCTCGGTTCTGTTAAAACTATCTTTAAAAATATTCTAAAAATAACGAGTTTTTATCTATTTTTATATATATAGGCCTTCACAGTAAGTGTGACTTTTATTACTTAATTTACGGAAAGAATAATTAATGTTATATAAAATATTACATTATACAAAGTGATTTCATTTCATATATATAATTTACAGGGTCTTTCAAATATGTTTGAACCATTTTGTACATAATCGAATAAACAATCTCATGATTTATAGTATACTTCCATCTATATTGAATTAGATGAGATTCAGGATCTCTCCGAATTAAAAACTTGAAAATTAACAAACATCGTTGTGGAGAAAATGTTTAAAATATAAATGATATTGTTATATTAATATGATTAAAATGTTTTATTATTATTAACTGTATGTTCAATAATTCAGTAAAATAAAATTAATAGCATTAAAAAAAGATGATTGTATTTTGTATTTCAAAAGCACAAGGAAATTTTCACCACTTTAAAGACAGAACGAACTTTCTTCTTACATTCTATTCATCAATATATAATTCGATAGAAATGCTTTAATAGATAATGTTCGACGACAAAGTTTATTGTAATTTCGTTATATACTTTAAGAAAATAAAGGCATTTATGAGGTATCTTCTGAACGATTCGCGGATCTTCTGAAACTGGTAGAGGACATATATGGACGGCGGATTGGAGAACACAATATAAAATTCTATAAGTACCTGTATATGTTTTTGTGATAGGAATATAAATGTTCCCAGTTTCTGCTTCACATTTGAAAATACATCTATTCTGAGCAGTGATTTTTGTACGTGGAAAACAGTTTAAAACGTTTCTTAAATGAAATTTTCGCTTGCAATATTATGACATAAGGTAGCTTGCAGAGACTATGAATTCGTTCCGTTAGATTGTTCGAAAAGCATACACATGCTCGTTATATTTTCGAATTACCTTATTATGGTGTTGCAGTTATAGATTCTGAATGATTGGTTAAATCTTACTTCCATCAAAATGATATTTAATCTGCATTTTACAGGAGTGTTGTTAGTTTTCCGCTACCAACGAGTTAGTGGAATTATTGAACAGGACCGTAAAGGATAGTTTATTTTGCATATATACTTTCTTTGACTAAATACGTCTATGTGGAACGATACATTAGACATTAGATTATGTATCGTCACAAATAAAAACGTAACTCCAATTGAACCTAATTCATTTTCTGAAAAATTGGAGGGAAGTTTTTCTTATTTCTACAACATAACGCACTCACTTATAATACAAAATCAATTTGCGACTGACTTTTTTAGCAGTGTTTATGTCATATGTAGTCCATATGGTCTCCTAATGTTAATCCTGTAGAAAATACGTTTTGTATCTTAGCAACAAAAGTATATATCAATGGAAAGCAATATTCATCAGTGGAATCATTGAAAAGGCAAACACTGATGTTTGGCACGAAATTACAGATGAAGAGAAAAATCCTAGTAAAACAATGTCAGATAGAGTTTACGAAGTAACGTATAAAAAAGGTGGACATATTGCTTATTAACAATAAATAAAATTACTTATGATTTAAATGTTGCTCTATCATTTTCGGATAAGTATAACCCATACCACATTGTTAAAATTCACTTAATAATTTTATCAAAATAAGCCAGAATTTTGAAATTTCATTTATGGAACGAGATAATCGAGGTTAAAATTTCCCATGTAAAGCCTACGGTCAGAGTTTATATAGACATTTAACATACGATGTCATGACGAAATTAATTTTTGAAAACACGCACGTGTGTATCGTACGGCTGCACATGTACATATTTTAAACGTTTCTTTACGTTTTTATCGATTATGACGATGGACACGTCTTTCCCGAAGTTTAAACTTCTTTAATAAGAACGTTAACCATTTGTGTTTTCGTGTCTAGCCGAAACAGATAAACCTTAACCGCAGTGCTCAGTTTCGTTTTCGTAAAAAATACCTAGTAATATCAGAAGCTTTTTTTTGGCTTTTTATTTTAAATAATGGTTAACATAGAAATGCCAGTAAACAGTTAGTTTATCAGTGCATTTACATTTAATTTACATTGACAGAGCAGTGCAGTGCTCTTGTAAGCCGAAACAAGTTGTCCTACATTACAGCATGCTCTTATAAACGATGCAGGGCGTGTGTTTTAGAACAAATTTGAAAACAAATGATTTATCACATAAAAGACCATGCTCTTATTTGCGCAGAAATACGGTAAAAATAATCTCTTAAGAATTGATTGATGGGAACACAGCATATGAGCGATCTTCCAAGGAAAAGTGCCTTCCGGAGGCTGGCCCCTATTTAGGTGTAAGACACGTGAAAGAAACTCTGGAAACTCCACGCGACAAGCCCATTGGTGACGCGCGAACCCACGACCCGTGTTCTGTAGTGTTAGTCACTCGAATACTGGTGGAACTCCTATGAATAACATACTGTACTTTTATTACGCGCCATACGTAACGCTATATGTATTATGAATAAATAATGCTTTTA